GTTTTTAATAATTGTAAAATTATGATTAAAAAATAAAAACGTTTTTACAATGAATGTGAACTTTAATTTAAAACAATTTAATCAAAACAACGAGTTGAGAGTGTCATCGTGAGGCCATATTATGGTTGAGTTGCAAACAACTGGACCATTGCGTAATGTCTCATGTGATACGTATCAAGTTTATTTGATTCTAAACATTCTTGTCTATCAACTTAACGAGGCGAGTCAGAGACAAAGGTACCTCACCATGGCGTCTTTGGTTTCGTTCTCTCTATATATGGTACACCGTTGCTTGAAAGGAACAGCGGAAAAAAGAGTTTCAGTTTGTTGTAGGATGAATTAGAGAGAAGTTTGAGAACTTGTTCCCAATACAACAAGAAACAGAGAACGTGTATAATTAATCCGAGTTCATGTCACGACTTTGTGTGTTGAATCATAACTGAGAAACCTCCAGAATGCGGAGTTCTATGAGATTTGTATTTTGGGAAATTAATTCCCTCGTATTAAACATTTTGTTTTCAGCTTCTCGTTTTTTTTATAGCCGAAGAATCCTAAATCGAAGCCTAAATTAATCCATATGACATGATTATATTGGCCGGATAGTTTTACCATTTTAAACATCTAATATAGCCAACACTAATTAACTAAAATTGCAATTATTTTTTTTTTCTTTTCTTTCACCCTATTATGTTCTTTACAAATCGGGCATCAATCTTCATCGAAACTCGCCATTAAGTTGAGATTGGATTTTGATGGTTCTCGCACAACAATATATTTATTCTTTTCATCTGATCAAAATGCATGTTGAGACTGATTAATGTTCAAACATGATAAGTTATGTTCGAGTTGTTAAGGATATAAAACATGTAGAGCTCATCAAATTTTATCGAGTATGGGTTCTCTTACTATATAATAAGATACTATGTTGGGGATTCACATTAGTTCCACTAAGGACAAAGTAAGTGGGCACCAACACAACATTAGTGATCATACAATCTGTCACGCACAAACCTTAATTATAATGTCATATATTTATATATACATCAGATTAATATTATTTTGTGATTTGACAAAAGTATATAAGAAAATTAGAAAGTAACTAAAAGTGTGAGACAGGAGAAGAACACTTTTATGCTTTGGCATCTTCAGGACTCAGGAGCAACTCACATGCATGCTCTAACCATTTGGCATTTTGGAATAATGCAATTATTTGATTATTTTTATATGGTTAAATATCATGTTACTGATATATTTAAAATCTTATCTATCATCAATCTGCATATCCATATTTTTTTTATTTGAGTAAATTATATATTACACATGTCTTTTCAATTAACTTTACAAGAAGTATTTATAAAAAAAAAAACTTTACAAGAAGTAAACATTTGTATACCTTCTTCGACTTTTTTGTTTTGTTTATTATCATATGAACAAAATAACTTTGTTATACAGTCATTAATTACATCGTAGATGGGTCTTTAAATCCGTAAAGCATGATTTAAACTTTTTCAAAAGGTCCTTTATCAGGAAGAAAAAAAAAAAAGCAACAGCAGAAACAGACAAACGAAGTTCACCTAAACATAGATTCTCCTAATCAACATACAAATAATTTAATTTATAGGGCGGTATATATGTAAATATAAAGCTCATACAAACATTTGAAACATATAATGCATGCATATAAATAAAGTATATAATGCTTATTGATATTATATTATACGACATATGTTGCCCATCTATTGGTCCTGATATAACATATATTGTCATGGTGAACTTGGGAACAAATGATTTTATCGTTAATATCGCATATATGCATATGATTATTTAATCAGAATGATTAACATTGACTCACATTGTCAAGAGGGGCAACAAAACAACAACCAAACAAAAAAAATTATATATATATATAGTTTACAACGATATTAAATGTTTTAAATTCTTATTCGAGAATGATATACATTTGGACAAACACGTGAAAACCAAAAACGTTTGTTTGATGTATAAAAGTGAAGTGAACTATAGTAGTGTTAAAACGCCACGAAGCCGGAGCGAGACGATAACGTTGAGAAGTAAAACTCCAGCAGGAGGGCGAGACGGCGGCGGAGGAGCAAGAGAAGAAAGCGGCGGAGAAGCAAAGGGAGCAAAAGCCAAGGGGTCAGGGAAGGAGTCGTCACTAGTGTCGGGATCAGGAGGGCTTGGGGAAGAAGGGATTGTGCCGGCGCCGGAAGGTAGATCGGCGGTTCCGGGGGAAGGGAGGAGAGGAGCGATCTCCGGTGAAAGCTGATCGAAGGGAGAGATGGTCGG